ACCCCATTTCATTTACAACTGATTGGGTTCGATTGGTCAAGTACGAGAAAAACCAAGAAATGGTCTCACTCGAAAAACCGAGTTCAACTAGTGTAATCAAAATTACTCTTGGGTTAACATAATCAAAAGCTTTAGTTAGATCAAATAGGACAATAATAGTTAGATTGTTTTCATCCATAGAACGCCTAATATCATCTATAAGTTTTAGTAAGGCTGATTGAGTGCTATGATGTTTCCTAAACCCTGATTGATATTTATCAAGCATTTCGTTATCTTCTAAGTAGCTTATTACCTGATTTGCATGATTCTCTCAAAGACCTTGCTCAGATGAGATGTATTAGCTATTGGGCGCGTATCTGATAATGATTTTGGGGGAGTTACTTTATTGATGGGTATTATAAATATTGCTTTCCATGTATGAGGGAAAACTCCAGTGTCTAATGACCGATTAAAAAGTGCTGTAAGAAAGATTGTAATTTGAGGTACGTGATTTTTTAACCATCTCAGATCAAGTCCATCTGGACTATTCCCTTTAGATTTTTGAAGAGTCAAGTGTAGAGCTTTAGTCACATCAACTATATCTATTTCAGTCCAAGTAAATGAAGAATTTACTTTACTTTTATGTAATTGGAAAAGTGAATTTACAAATTGTTGGTCGCATGCTGGATGTCGACGTACCATGGCTGCAAAATGTTCGTTTAAGTCAGACGGTTCAAAATGATTTAGAGGAGAAGATGTAGTACGTTTTACAAGGCCTAGGTGTTTTAGCTTACTCCAAATTTGAGTTCCGTAAGATAGATTGGACAGCGAGTTTTTTAAATAGTTTTCACGAGCACGACTTATTTCGTGTTTCAGCTCTTTCCTCATTCTTTTAAAAAGTTGAAAAAGATCCGTATCGTTATGTCTTTTTGCTCTTTTATAAACCGCATCATGTTCTCTACATTTAATTTTTAATTCTTTAGTAAATCATGGATTAAGCGAACGAAAGACTGTACGCGAGTATAATGGTGCAAACTCATCGAGGACATTTATAACATTGGTTAGAAAAATATCAAGTAGAGAATTTGGATCGAGCTCATTCAGAGAGTCTCTTCCTATATTTAATGACAGCATAAGAGAGTTTGATAACGCAGTGTTATTTAAGTCAGAGAATCTCCGGTATGTAAGTATTTTTTTATTTTGCTTAGGAACCTCGAGCAAATATTCACAATACAAAAAATCATGACCGTTGATAAATGGTTGATTCGATTTATAAAATGACCCAAGTTTACTTTTATTATCTAATAATACTACATCCAATCAAGAATCTTTATTCCTAATATGATGAGTTGAGTTGTAAGGTACGCAATGAATTGATAGTTCTGAGATAAATGTTTTTAGGTGATTGGAGGTATAAGTTGAATCTAATAGGTCACAGTTTAGGTCGCCTGTAATAATGAAATTTTTGTATTTTGTAGTTAATTTTGAATGGATATCAAAGAAATTTAAAAGATTTCCTCCCGGTCTTCTATATATGACTGATAGTATAATATGAGAACCAGATGTTGAAGTTATATCAATAATCAAAAATTCAGGTTCATTAAGGTGATCCGAGGTAGATATGTGTAGTAATGTAGCTTTTAATGTTCTATGGATTAGACAAGCGACACCTCTGCCTTTTAGTAGTCGACCGGTGTCTGAGTGAGTAACGTTACGATCTCGTCTGAAAATTGTATAGTTATCTAGATTAAATAAAGAGTTGTTAATAATAGGCTTAAGCCATGTTTCTGTTAATGCAACAATATGAGGTTGAATCTCAGCAACTAAATTAGTGAGTTGATTAATATTGCTATTTACACTATTTATATTTAAACTTAATAATTTAATAAACTTAGAATTATAGCTGGTAGTTTCAGTTAAATCAGAAAAATGTTAATCAAGCTTACTTAGCTCTGTTTCAGAACTAATTTTAATTTTATTCGAATTATCATTTTGCTTAACAAAAATAGATCCATCTTGCACCCAAACATATTTAAAATTTGAATTTTTAGCTTTAAGTTTCGTACTAATTAATAATTTATGCATCTCTGGGTGTAAAAATTCATTTAAATAAATGTTACCTTTAAAGGAGTTATTTACTAGAGTCGGAAAAACATTTTTTACAGTTAATATTTTATGTTTTCTTTTTATGTAAATAATGTGATCACGAACTTGGGGTGATATCATTTTAAGAATGTAAATGTGCAAAACCGGTCTAGATTTAGTGACATTAGTGACATTATTAATATTACGATTTCTAGTAGTACTATCAACATTAGTCGATTTCTTCTCCATTTTCCTAATTGAGAGTATATTAGGAATTAATTCTGATATATTTAATTCTTTAAATACACTTGAAGCAATATCCATTGGTGTAGATCCTGTTGAGACTGAATCTGGGATACCGGAAATTACTAATTCAGACGATGACGAAGATGTTGAAGTTTTACTTTGTAAAACACCCACCAGAGTTTTGGCCATTTCAGTTGATTCTGTCTTCAGGGCTTCAAGTTCCATGTTGACATCAATTATTTTTTGTGAATTTGTGATTATACTGCTACTCAAATCAGCTAATCTTTCTTTAGCCTTGGTTTGTTCATTTTGAAGGCTGTCTATACGCTTACCAAGATTATCTATTTTAGCAGACATGGTTTTTAAGCTACTATTTAAACTAGGGATCTGAGCTAATACTACTTTTTGAGAAGATAAAGATCGCATTACAACTGTTAGCATTTCAGAGTTTGACATAGTAGACCATCCCTCAGGTAGCGTGTCTTGAGATTCTGGATCAGCAATTGGGATTGAATTTGTAGTAGTTGACTCTTTCTCATTTTGATTGTCACTAATCGTTGCAGTGCTCATAGTTGCAGGTGAAAAAATAGTATCACGAGTCAGTGATAATAGAAACGTTGGAGTAATTGGTGATGGATAACCTGATTGTGACTTTTCGTTGGTTAATTTGATAGATGAATTTGATGAGGACTTCGCTGATTTAAAACTTGATGTTGAAGAGTTTTGGGACTTTACTGATCTCAATGAAATCAGACGATTATTTGAATTCTGAGTTTTTAAGTCAAGAGTTTTCAGAAGATATGCAAACTGAGTTCTACAACAATCAGTTGGGGGCCGACCTTTTATATAGCCCCTAGCGTGAATGACCAATGTGTAAGTTTATAAATTACAACTTTAAAATTATTTTTCATAGGGATTTGTTTTACATGAATGAGAAACTAACGATTGCTAATAAAACAATAAAATTGGGAAAACGGTTGACCCTGAAGGCCATCCCTGCAACTTCCCGCTAATTTCATACCTAGGCGCTTAAAATTGCACTTATGACGTTTTTGAGCTCTTCGAGCTCAAAAATACAATTTGTGTGTTATTTCGAGTTCTCCGAGCTCGAAGAGATATCTTTCTTATGCTTTTGAGCTCTTCAAGCCCAAAAGTCTTATCAAAGTTTGATGAAACACGATTTTTTTAATTTGCAAACTGCTGTAACTTTTGAATGAATCAACCAAATTTCACGCGGTTGACGGAGATCGATGTAGTTTTTTGAGCTCTATAAATAATTCCCAACAAAATAATTGATCTGATCGAAAATTCCGGAGTTATTACAAAAAAACACTTTTTTCGATTTTTTTCGATAACGAATTCGACCCCTTTAGATTTAGCTGAAACTTTATCATTCTTTTCTACCCTTTGAAAAACATTTTTGAGAAGTTTTTCAAATTTTTTTGTCCGACCCAAAAAAAGTTTTAAATTTCCCAAAAAAGCGGCTTTTTTACTACTGTATGATGCACGAGGTAACCTATACGAGCTTTGTTGATAATCCTTCATAATCCTCATTTTTTCTAACGTTGTCTCAGCATCATCTTCATGTAATTTTTTAATCAAAGTTCCTTTCGGAATTTGATAGAAAACTAAAGCTTTATTCGCACTCAACTGTTTACTCCTCACTTTGGCAATAGCTTCTTTAAGTGCATCAATAGTGTATGCAAATCTCATGTATTTTCTTCTAAAATTGTTCACAGAGTTTCGTTTTTTCACTTTATTTTTCTTCAAATCAGTTTTATTGGCAATTTTTTTATTTCTTATAGTAGAAAGTTTTAACTTTGCCATTTTACTAACCTCAACACTTAAGGGGGTATTCTGGTCTAGAAATTCGAAAAAATCGATTTTTTTTGCATATTTTCAAAGTTTAGACCCTTAAAAATATGTCCTTAAATGGATTTTTCAAAATTCGAATTATTTTCAAAGATACAGTGGATTTTGTGACGCAGCATTTAAGCCGGCCGATCGTCGCGAATCACACAATAAACAGTGGCGATTCCCGGAAAACTTGAGCACTCGTTCTTTCCAAGAATTCTTTTGTTTTCGGCAGAAGCCTTTTTATATGTTCTATATATATCTTTATACTTCTATATATACCTTTAAACATACTAAATATACCAGGAACTGTACAATACGAAAGTCATAATGTTGATGTTGTTTTTTATTTATTATTCTGTTCAGTTTAGTTTTAATCTTGAAGCGAAATAGACAAGTGCTCTGTGGATAGTTGTGAAATAATAAATTTTGTTTTTTCTATTTGCTTAACAATGGATAGAAAAAGTGCGCGGGGGAACAATAGTCGTCCAGATAGGAACAAGAAGAAACGATTTTCATCAAATCGATTTACCGTTGAAAAAGATTGTAGTTATACAAGTGCTTCCGCAGCAAAGTTAAAAAAGTTTGACGATGAGGAAATAGTTATCAACAAAAATTTTGGGTACTGTCTTCTGGAATTTTTCTCAGTTTTTCAAACTCTCTCAACTTTAATTGTATGTGCTACCTGCAAAGAAGAAATTAAATTTTCTCAAACGTCACCACGCGGTTTAGGATTTAAAATTGCATTACAGTGCAGTTGTAAAAATGTTTAATACATTCAATCATGTCCGTTGGTGAACAAAGCTTATGAAATTAATCGCCGGATCGTTACAGCTATGAGACTTTTAGGAGTAGGAAGAGAAGGAATAAATATTTTTTGTAGTGTCATGGATATATGCCAAGGTTTATGTATCAGTACTTACTACAGTTGTCTTGATAATTTACATACAGCCGCAAGTGCAATTTACGATAAGCTAATATCAAAAGCTGTAAAAGAAGGGCAAGAATTATTATCAGAATTTGAGCCTAATGAAAATCCAAAACACTTGACGGTTTCTGGAGATGGCACCTGGAAAAAGCGCGGGTTTACTTCACTTTTTGGCGTTACAACCCTTATTGGTAAATACAGTAAAAAAGTTATCGATACTGTCGTAAAATCTAGTTTTTGCCAAAGTTGTAACTTGTGGAAAGAGAAGAAGAAATCTAATCCTCAAGCTTATCAAGATTGGTATGAGGAACATGAAGATTCATGTACCATCAATCATCGGGGAAGTGCTGGGAAAATGGAGGTAGATGCTGTGGTCGAGATGTTCAACAGATCGGTCGAGAAGCATGGAGTAAAGTACATAAAATATATTGGAGATGGAGACTCCAAGACATTTAAAGGTATTCTTGATATCGACCCGTATGATGATGATCCAGTCGTAGAAAAAAAAGAGTGTGTTGGGCATGTCCAGAAACGTATGGGTTCCAGGTTGCGTAAAGCAAAAAAAGACAATAAAGGTATTGGCGGCAGAGGAGCTGGTAAATTGACAGATAAAGTTATTAATGAGTTGAGTTTATACTACGGTCTGGCAATTCGTCGGCATCCTGATTGTGTGCAGAGTATGAAGAACGAAATATGGGCTACTTATTATCATAAAAGTTCAAGCGATGAGAATCCACAGCACATGCACTGCCCAACTGGTTCGTCAAGCTGGTGTAAATGGCAACAAGCCTTAGCTGAGAACACTCTTGAAGAGTTTGTCCACAAACATCCCCCCCTGAATGAAAAAGTACTAGAAGTAATTGAGCCCATTTATACCAGTTTATCGTCTGACGATTTACTACATCGATGTTTGGGGTCTGAAACTCAAAATAATAATGAATCGCTCAATTCATTAATATGGGCTTTTGCTCCCAAGCATATTCACGCTGGATCTCAGACAATTCAAATTGCGAGTTATTTAGCTGTTGCCATTTTTAATGAAGGTTATTTACCCATCTTCAAAATGATGGAACTTATGGGCATCACCATTGGTACTGAAGCTCATTCATTTGCTATCAGACGTAACGAAATTCGGATTGAGCGCTCTGAGCTGCGAGCTTCTGCTGCTTCCAAAGAAGGCAGAACAGCTCGATTAGCTGAAAGGACTTCGCAAAACATCGAATATGAAGTAGAAGAAGGCCCAATGTATGGATCTGGGATCGCCGATTAATCCAAAGTAAGTATTGAATATTATTATACGAGTTATTCTACTGGAATTGTTTCTCAAACTTTAAACGCGTTTTTCTCGAAACTACTTTTTTTAAAGTGGTTGACATGATATCTCAAGTTATAGCGAACCGATTCTTTTGAAATTTGATGGGAATCTTCTTTATATATCTCTCTATCGCGTCTGCTATGGATTTTGAAAAATTTCAATTTGGAGTATTTTTAAAAAATTCAAAAAGGTAAAAAAGGGGTAAAAAAAATTGAAAGGGGTGAAAAAAAATTTCATGTCGACGCCATTTTGTGGATTTTTTTTTTGGCTGTAGTCAACGCGATAGCGAAATCTTTATAGATTGAGAATTTTTCAAATTTTTTTGTTTCAGATCACTACAAGAGCTGGAATCATGTCAACCAGGGTGCACCGTTTTTTTTGTAGCCCCCACTTCACCGGCCTGTGATTTGTCCAATTTATCATTTTTTTTTTTTCAATTTTTTTTTACATTCTTGAAACGTCAATAAACATCATATAAAAAAACCGATGGTAAAAATGTTTTTCATTTTTTTTTATGTTAGTTTGAAAAATGCCTAAAATTTACGCTTCTAGACCAGAATACCCCCTTAAGACAATACAGCAAACTAAACGTACGATCATTCACTGGTCGTAGCAAATATCTAACTTACTAATAAATGACTATAGTCAGTCATTTACTAGCAAAGCACACTTATCAAATAAGTCAGTGAATGACTGACGTCAAATTAATATAAATATATTATTAAGTTGAATTATATCCATCATAGGTCAATTTTAATATTAGTTTATCTACACAAATGTCTATAAATTTTGTATTTTGGACAAAAAGTAATTATTCATAATTAAAATTCATAGTTTTCTAAGCAGCCGCTTTCACAGACTTTAGTCAAAATTTTATGGTTTTCTAGAAATTCTCGGATTCTCGATATAATTTTGATGAATTTTGAAAATACACTTTTAAGTTATTATAATTCGTGATAGTTAAATATTGAAAAATATATGTAAGATTACAATTATGATTGAGCATTGACTGTTTACTAAATTTTTGGATTTCTATAATCATTATTTTCATTACCGGTCATTCATTGGTAGGCGGTCACGGACTGGACGGTTTACCCTAGTGAAATAGTAAAAGTTCCTTCAATTTTCTTTCCGTGTACCAATATTATCAGAAGCTGACTTCACTGCGTCGGTAACAGCACTGCTGTTTTCGGTCTTTCGAGCCATTTCGAAGAAGGCCTCTGTGCTTCGTTCGTTTAATAGACTTTATGTCTACTCCCTGTAGCACTACTCGACAGCAAAGCCATGGGGTCCACTCCGCTGTCCAAACGGTCGCTTGTTAACGACAATTTCATGCCCACTTGCACGCCCTCCATGGCCGGCACTTGGTCATCCCTCCCCTGTGCGGTAAACGATTTTTGAAAGTATTGTGACGTTTTCATATTGTTTTATGAACGTACTTAGTATTGTAAGATTACTTAGTTCATCATAATAACTCGATTTTTTCTCAAATGTTGGTTAAGACGTTATTGCTCAATTCCATCCAAATGAGGTTCAGATATGCGAATACATTGTATTGTAATTTTGAGCATTTAAAAATTAAATACACGGCCTGGAACTATTAAATAATAAATTGGTTTCAACTCCTTTTTTTCTTCTTCTTCAATAGCCCCAAGTGTCCCCTACCAAACAAACGAAAGTATATTCCTGTATCTATAATAGCGTTCGAGATATTACAAAATCAAAATTGAAAAACTGGAAAAATTGGAAAATTTCGAATTTGCATATCTTTTAAAAAAAAATTTTTTTTTCTTTTTACAGAACTTCGTTATATGATAAAAGAAAACTTCTGACCAAAATTTGTCCAAATCGAAAGGGTTTGTTTTCAACTATTGTTTGATTTGACATGGAATGACCCAATAAGTAAATATTTTTCGTTAATAATTAATAAAAATTAGCATTCGTCAAATCATTAAGAATTTTGGACAATCATTCTATTAAATATATGCATATTATTATTCTAAACTTAATAATAATGGGTTTTTAATACATATAAATTGATTTTCTTGTGTTTAAGACAAAAACAAACCGTAATTTTTAACAGTCTGAAGTTTGAGGCTCGATATCTTTGAAACGGTTTGACTTACGCAAAATTTCAATCCGACCTTTTTTGAAGAGCATTCAATTGCCCATAAGAAAAAGGTTTAGTTTTATTTATAAATTCGCTCGTTGTCTCGTAACAGAATTCCAAACTTTAAAAGAATATTTTTCTATGTTATTTAAATGGGAAATAGAAATTATTTGACGCCACCTCTAAATATTAATATTAAGAGCTCGTATTTTCAGAGGATCTTTTTTTAGAGATACTCTGACGATTTCTCAATGTTTGTTGGAAAAAAAAATATTCGATTTTTTTGATACACTCTATCGGCAACTAATTTTGAACGACTTTTTTTTTTTTTTTTTTTTTTTTTTTTTTTTTAATATTTCATAATTAAATGAGCATCATGAGTCATGCACTCTTGGATTTTCCAAACTTTTTTGTATTTTTTTTTCTTTTTGAAATACCTAGACTATTTTACGATTCAGAAAAAAATTTTAACTTGATATTTTTATTAAAAAGCATCATCATGCTCAATTGTTTTTACAATTTATATCAAAATAAAAAAAATTAGAAAAACGGTTGACCCTGAAAGTCATCCCTGGAACTTCCCGCTACTTTTGTAATTAAGCGCTTAAAATTGCACTTATTACGTTTTTGAGCTCTTCAAGCTCAAAGATATAATTTTCGTGTAGTTTTGAGCTCTCCGAGCTCAAAAGTCTGATAGAAGTTTAATAAAACACTATTGTTTGAATTTTCAAACCACAATAACTTTTGAATGAATGAACCGGTTTTCACGCGGTTGACGGCATTCGACGCAGTTTTTCAAATTCTATGATTTATTTTCCAACACAAATTGATCAGAGCAGAAATTTCGGTGTAATTCGAAAAAAATACTTTTTTTCGATTTCTTTCGTCAACGATAACCCACGAACGAATTGACCGATTTTGACCGGATTGGTGGCGATCGACGTGGTTTTTCGATGTTAAGAGCGGATTAGTTTTTGGAATTGATCGGTAAAGCCGTTAAAAAGTTATTAAAAAAAAACCTCATTTGAAAAAATGTTTTTTCACAGTTTTTTTAAGATTTCTCAAAATCTATCGATCCGAATCGGTCCAACTTGGATTCAAAATCTAAGTTCAGTCGAACCCTCATGAATGGCACCATCCGCGATAAAATCGGTCAAGCCGTTCAGAAGTTATGAGGTTTACATAGATCCACACACACACACACACACACACACACACACACACACACACACACACACACACACACACACACACACACACACACACACACACACACACACACACACACACACACACACACACACACACACACACACACACACACACACACACACACACACACACACACACACACACACACACACACACACACACACACACACACACACACACACACACACACACACACACACACACACACACACACACACA